TCCCTGTATCAGCTGACAAACATTTGCTTCCTGAGGTTTTGTAAATTAAACAAATTCTTCCCGAGGTTTGGTAAATGAAAAAAGTTAAAGGGTTTTTGAAAAATTTACCCTTAGTCAACAAGCATCTCACTTTCCCCAAAAGAAACTCTAAAGAAAACATGAGTACAAGCACCAAACTAACATGGAAGTGAAAATTCTCCGCAACTCTTCAAGTCTGATTGCCCATTTCTAAACACATTAATCAGCATTGTTTACTTGATAACAGCCATGAATATGTGGTAGATTAATGCAACCACATGTAATTGGGAATCGGTTCCCTCTACTAGCCTGGGCTAGGCAAGAAGAGATGGAAATACTGAGACTGTATGTTCAGGTGGAGGCACTATGTGAACTTCAATCTGATACCCAACTTATCATTTTTAGGGGTGGGGGTTGGATTTTGTTAGTTTGTTTTGCATACATGCACCTTTCCCTGCTAAAAAACTAGCTGCTGGAAACTGATGTGCACATTATATGCCAAAAATATGGTAAGAGCAGGTTCTGCCACTTGCCAGGTGAAAACCAAGGAAAATCTACAGCAATCCACTGGGAACAGGTTTGGCTCCTTAGCTGCTGCTACTCAGTTACAACAAGGAAAGATCTTTTTCATTTTAATTTTGCCTTTCAAAAACAAGGTGTATATTATATTCCAGGGCGTGTTGTATGGGAAAAAGTATGGAACTCTTTCCTGAAGAAGCCAGGCACGGTCCTCATGATTTAAAATAACCGGGTTTGCTTCCCAAACAGAAGTGTCATGAGTCCTTAGAATTAAAGCATTTTCTTAAGCTTAGAGATGACATGTGAAATCTCCATTTTGTCCCATAATTAACTCCTAAACCCCCTGATCCTTCTCTCACTGCTTTAAGCTCTCAAATTATCAGCATTGTTCAAAAGGTACAGATCTGAAGACAGTTGTGATTTCACAAAAAACCCTGAGATAGACTATCCCTTTCCAGCTCCACGAGGTGTCCCTGTTCTAATCCAAATCAATACAGCATCTGAAATAAAAGGTTAGGATTTAGGGATTCAGAAATAGAATATTAATGCCCTTTTAAATCACCTGCCTACCACAGTTCCCTTCTCCCACAGATAAAACTGTTCTAGCTTCTAATGCTATTTAAATTTAAATATCCTTATTTTCCCAATGTCTGTAAAAATCCTCATAATCTGGAGATCAGGTAGCAGGACATCTTAGCTCTCCATAATTGGAGGATTCTTTAAGTATCCCAAGGTCTAAAGAGAGACAAACAACACTTTCACTGAACCAAAATGATTACTACAGGTATTAAGAAATTCAGTCAGTGCAGGAAACATTACCAAAGTTCGCTGAACAAAATTTGGCAAGCTACAATTGACTGTCCTATTCACATTCTTTGAACTGCATAGCTAGGTTTAGCTCTACTCCCACTAATTCAGTAAAGGATGCAATAAATGAAAATGATTTAGACTATTACTGAAAGGATGGGACAAATCTGAAATGTCATTTCTGAACTGTGTCTTCACAGCCAAAAGGAATTTACCAATACATATCTGAATTGCCCATCAGGAAACTTTACTGCAAGATACTTTCCTTTATGGAACAGTACAGAAGTAGAGAAACAATTGCACACTAATATTCAGCTATATTAAGATAGTTTATGCCCAAAAGGCTAAACTACAATGATTTTAACTCATGCCTATAATGTATTTGTGCCACATAAGCACAAATGGATGAGACATGCTCATCCATTATTATTTTAGCATACAGTAGGTCCAAGTTATCTTCCTTTACTCCATTGTTCCCACTAAGTATCTCATTAAATTTGCACATAGTACATCTGAGCCATAACACACAAAACTAGCTACATTTTTTTACTTATTCGTTATCACACTAGCGTAAGATCCCACTGTGCTAGGCACAGTACAAACACATACCGAGACTGCTCTGACTCTGAAGAGTTCATGATCTCAGCAGACAAAAGACATGGAATGGAAAAGGAAGTGAAAGAACGGAAGCGATCTGTCCACATGGCACATCAGTGGCAGAGCCAGGATTAGAATTAGGGTGTTTAAATTTTGACCACACATCAAATACAATATAAATAAGGGAATTCAAAGTTAAAACCTAACACTCACACAATCCAACTCACTTTGTCATCCCAGGTACTGAAATCCACATATAGTGATCACTGCCTTGGAAGGTGTTTAGTACCTGGCAACCAAAACAACTGAATCCCATAATTTATATCAATGGGTGACTGCTAATGCTACTTTCCTTTGTTTCCCTGCACTTGTTTCATCACATGGTATAGCACAGTGGTGCTCAACCTTTCTGCCCTGCAGGCTGGATGGATGCCTAAACCATCTACGGCCAAACATGGCTGATGGGCCCGATTCAACTGCATAGAGGCAAGGGTAGGGTGTGACCAGCCTTGGGAGGGAGGGGGAAAGGGGCCATGGCTTGACCTCAATGCAGCCACAGGGGGGAGGGAGGAGGTGGAGGAAGAGGGGTGGCAGTATTAAGTTGTCACCAATCCCGTCATCAAAATTTTCCTGCACCAAATTTCCCATTCGGTGGGGAGCTCTGCAGGCTGTATGCCAAGGCTCCATGGGCCGGATTTGGTCCAAAAGCCAATGGATTGAGCAACCCAGTATAGTTTTTTCAAAGCACCACACTTACAAACACCAAAAGACATGGAGGAAGTACAGTGTTAAAAATGTGCTTACTTCACAACAAACCATAATTAACTTGAGTCAACAGCTGCAGCTTGATGGTGGTTTTTGTTTCTTCCTTCTCTCCCCCACCACTTTTTGTGGCTACAAGGGCATTTCCTTCAGGTTTTTCTTAAGACCTCAAAGGATTTTGTTGTTTTCCTCCAACACAAAGACTCTTGCCACACAATCTGTGCGACTGTGGCATCGACACCTACACAGTCAAATGGGTCACTAACTGGCTGGAGGGCCGCACCCAGAGAGTGGTGGTGGATGGGTCTTATTCGACCTGGAGGGATGTGGACAGTGCAGTCCCCCAGGGCTCGGTCCTCAGGCCCGCACTGTTCAACATCTTCAGCAGCAACTTGGATGAGGGGGTAAAAAGCACCCGGTTCAAATTCGCAGATGACACTAAGATGTGGGGGGAAGCGGGCACACTAGAAGGGAGAAATAGGCTGCAATCGGACCTAGACAGGTTACAGGGGTGGGCAGATGAGAACAAGATGGGTTTCAACACTGACAAGTGCAAGGTGCTGCACCTGGGGGAGAAGAACTTGCAGCATACCTACAGGCTGGGGAACTCCCTTCTCGTCAGCACAGAGGCAGAAAAGGATCTTGGGAGTCATTATTGATGCCAAAATGAACATGGGCCAACAGTGCAGGGACACTGTCAGGAAGGCCAACCATACCTTGTCATGCATCCACAGATGCATCTCAAGCAGGTCCAAGGAGGTGATCCTCCCCCTCTATGCGACACTGGTCAGGCCGCAGTTGGAGTACTGCGTCCAGTTCTGGGTGCTGTACTTCAGGAGGGATGTGGACAGCATGGAGAGGGTCCAGAGGAGGCCCACCCGCATGATCAGGGGTCAGCACAGCAGGCCCTACGAGCAGAGGCTAAGGGACCTGAACCTGTTCAGCTTCCACAAGAGAAGGCTGAGGGGGGATCTAGTGGCCGTTTACAAACTAGTCAGGGGGGACCAGCAAGCATTGGGGGAGTCCCTGTTCCCCCGAGCACTACCAGGAGTGACAAGAAATAATGGTCACAAGCTGGCAGAGGATAGATTCAGACTAGACATCAGGAGGTGCTACTTCACTGTCAGGGTGGCTAGGATCTGGAACCAACTTCCAAGAGAAATGGTGCTGGCTCCCACCCTGGGGGTCTTTAAAAGGAGGCTGGATGAACACCTCGCCGGGGTCATTTGACCTCAGTACTCTTTCCTGCCATGGCAGGGGGTCAGACTTGATGATCTGCTCAGGTCCCTTCCGACCCTACTAACTATGAAATTATGAATCACTCTACCTGAGGACTAGGTGTTTCATGCTGGTCCTTAAGTGATTGTTCAGATGGTCATCATCTTTCCATACAAATGTTACATAAAGTCCTTCAGATTAAGCAGTTTAATATACCAGGGAAAGCAAATAACCAACCAACCAACCCACCCACCCTCCTTCCACAACCAAGGATTTCACTCCAATTTGGAAGGAAGAAAAATATTCCCTAGTCAAAGAGACTTTAACCACAAGAATTCATTTGACATCTAAGTTATAAATCTTTACAAAACAGTCTAACAAAGGCTGGCATGCTCACACCCATCCAAAGGTAGAATTCCAGCTAAAAATGTTGCTAGAAATAAGCTGGCCTAATTCAAACCAGGAGGCAGAGATCCTGCTAGTTTGTGTACTCACCAGTTGGATGGCTATCATTAATACCGTCTTCAAAGTAAAGGTTCTGTCACAGAGGTCAAACAAGTCTTCCAAACTGGGACCAAGCAATTCTAGTACCATGGCATTGTACTTTCCACATGGTCCAAAGTAGTACACCTGGGGAAGACCTTCAGCTGAAAGAAAAAATCCACACATCAGCAAGACTGGACCTGCTATGACTCCTGTACACCATACATATTTTGCTGTCTCCAGCTTTATTTTTACACATTAACACACAATGCCTGTTGTACATCTTGCACACCAAGAAGAATTAAGCTTCTACAAGTGTTTGCTATGGAGGAAATGGAAGCCAAGCCAGTACATGCTCTGCTGAAATAAGCCTTGGAAAGGTATATAGTATTAGTCGCTCTGAAAAATCTGAGCACATGACAAGGTTTCATTCTGGCATTGTGAATATTTTGGTCACAGGGAACTTATGAGATTCAGCATTTCACCTTAACATTAGAGAGATATGGAGCACCAATGATCCTCATTTTTCCCCCAATATCAACAGCTCAAAAGAGTTAAAGAACTCTCACTATAATTAGTTTACACTCAAGAAAAGTTCCCTTTATAAACCAAGTTGTGCATGTGGGTTGTTACTAAGCATGGCTTTATACACCATTTAAATGGCACACTTCAGTTAGCTATAACCATGTCTCATTCAACAAGTCTTTGTGTCATATCATGTGACAAAGAGATCAAAACACTTAAGTTTATCTATAATTTTAGTTTGCTAAGTCACACAGACCACACGTTTATTGGGAGTTCTAACTTTTCACTTCTCTAACCTTCCCCATCCCAAACAAGCAAGGCCACAGGAATACACTTAGAACTTACCAATAAGGCCAAATCTATACTGAACTGATCACAACACTGAATGAGTTGAGTAAGCAATGGCTCAGAAAGGACAAGGCTTAGCTTACAGCCTTTTTGCAGTGCTGCTTCCAAGATGACTGAGCTAATGAAAGTAGTGTTATGTTACTTGAACAGGCTGTCCTGTGAAAACCTTCAGACTGACCACTCAATACACATGATTGCAGCCAACTGCCATATTCAGAGGTTCCTTCTAGTATAGGAACCTGGGTCTTCTGGTGCTAGTGCAAGACAGTGGGACAAACTAGTTCTCTCATAGACCTATTTCAGCCTTGCTTCATGATTATTCCTTTGTTTGCGCTACAGACTTACACAGGAACTGGATGCACAATAAACCAAACCCATCTGGAATCCCATCAGCACTGCAGCCCAAGGTCTCAGAGCCCTGGAAGAGATTACTAAAAGCTATGCCAAAAATTCAAAGGCACACACACACACACCCCCCCCTTCCCAACAAATCGAGAGAACCAATATATATCACTTCACAACAAATCGAGGGAAGTGATTATTCCCCTCTGTTCAGCACTGGTGAGGTCACATCTGCAGCACTGCATCCAGTTTTGGGGTCCCCACTACAGAAAGGATGTGCACAAATTGGAGAGAGTCCAGCAGAGGGCAACAGAAATGGTGAGGGGGCTGGGGGACATGACTTCTGAGGAGAGACTGTGGGAACTGGGCTTATTTAATCTGGAGAAGAGAAGACTGAGAGGGGATTTAACAGCTGCCTTCAGCTACCTCAAGGAGGGTTCAAAAGAGGATGGAGCTAGAGACTGTTCTCAGTGGTGACAGATGACAGGACAAGGAGCAATGGTCTCAAGTTGCAGCAAGGGAAGTTTAGGTTAGATGTTAGGAAAAGCTCTCTCAGGAGAAGGGTAGTAAAGTACTGGAACAAGTTACCCAGAGAGGTGGTGGACTCCATTTTTAAGACCCAGCTAGACAAAGCCTTGTCTGGGATGACCTAGTTGGGCACGGTCCTGGCTCTGAGCAAGGGATTGGACTAGATGACCTCCTGAGGTCCCTTCCAACCCTCATTTTCTACGACTATTTCCTCCCTCTTCGCACACAAAGGCTGTGTCCAGAAGAGCACAGATGTTTGGTTCCCTGGAGACAAGAAGCAGCAACACAACTAGTGCTGCTGCTGCTTGTCCCTGGGGAACGCCCATGCTATGCACCCTCTGGTGTGCAGCAGGTTACCCCAGGTTGGGCAGGGGAGGCTGAGGCCAGCAACCGTGCTGGCCTCAGCAGCCTTACCTGGGATCCTGGGAGCTGGGGAAGCTGCCCATGGCTCTCCTGCAGCTTGGAGCCCAGCTGGCAGCTAGAGCACAGCTCTGGTGGACCAAGCTCTGGTTTGGGGCAGCACATACTGTAGCCATGTGTGCCGCCCCAGTTCCCCACCCCCCCTGTGCAGGCTTTTTTTTTATTTTTTACTCCAGGACCTCCCAGGTCAAAAACCCTACCCCCCACCCCAGCCTCCGCACTGCAAGGTAGCAGCATGGGAAGTGCCTGAATGTGCAGTGTGTGGCACCACAGATGGGTCTGCAGCACCACATACCACATAGTATCGTCTGGTTGCAGCCAAAGGGTGTGTGGAAAAATATTAGAATCAGAGCACAAGTTTAGCTATATCTCTTATTGCTACTGTACATACAGGAAAACTTTGCTAATCTTCCCCTACTTAACTACTTCTGCATTTAAAGATTATTTCAGGATTTTGTAATCTTGTTTGCTCATCTTAATTCACAAATACCGGGAATTCATGCTAGCTCAATCAGTTACCAGAATAAACTAATCTAAACATCTGCAGATGCTGAGCATCTAGCCACCAAAACATTCAATATACTGCATACAACAGCTGTACAAATATGGCAGTGTTGGAGGGACGATTTGAATTGAAACATTTAATTAACATTTACATCTGATCCAAACAACTGAAGCAAAACTGAACAGAAAAGATGCACTGTCCCTTCTAGAAACTACCATTTTTACTCAAATCTAGGTCAACCCTGAATTTAAGATGACCCCCAATAATTAAGATTCTATATATGGAAAATTTATAAATGTGTTGTTACAGTTTTCTAGGTATAGAATCTAATTATTGGAGGGTTGTCTTAAATTCATCCCCCAGGACAACTTTAAGAAAAATCAAGGAAAGAAGTAGCTGGTGGGAAGGGGGGGGCAGGTGGCCCCTTGCTCTCTGCACCCCCCCCTCTTCCCATTGCAGCCTTCCTGCCCCTCCCCCCCACTGGCAACCCCCAACTCCAGCTTTGCCCCTCCTGTCCCACTCCCCAGTCTCTTCCCTGCCCCTTTACTGTGAGATGCTGCTCAGGCTGTTTCCTCCCAGAGCACAGCTGGTGGAAGTGCGAGCCCTGCAGCAGTGTTGAATGGCCAAGCAGGTGCCACGCAGCAGTGTTGGGGGTGCTGACCAGTTAGGCAAGGGATGGCGTTTCCATGTACTCTGTGCCTGAGAGGGGAATTGAGCCAGAGCCAAGCAGTGCACACCAGTAAGGTGGGGGAGGAAGCTGCTGTGCGTCTGACTCTAGCCCAACCCACGCTCAGGGTCAGTCAGAGCCATAGCAGCTGCCTGCCCCCACCACCCCCTCCCTGCTTCATACATAAATTTAAGACAAGAGGCTTTTTTCTCCATGCTGCTGGAGGGGCAGGGAGGAGAAGGGGGGACCTTGTCTTAGATTTGAGTAAACATGGTAAACTTGAACTCGAGAGGTAGCTTTCTTTGATGTCGAGTCAATTTAGAAAAGTAATAGGAAGATGGAGTCAGGTCAGCTCCAACAGTGTCTCAACACCCATTTCAATGGCCAGTAGGTACCTCAGTTAGGACAAATTCAACTCAAATGGCACAGCTTGGGGTATCTGGTGCACCTTCCTGGCACTCTTACCTAACAAATCATATTGGAGTTCATCCTTCACCTCCACAGTGAGTGCCTCAAACTAAAATACAGAAGCAACGCACCAAAAGATGCTGGCTGCTACAGGTTGGTGTTAAGGAATCCACCCACTAGCATGGACAGGATAAAGGAACTGGATGACTGAGAAAATGCAGCAGCAGAAGGCCAAAGCAGCAATGAAGAACAGCAATTTGCTTCATATGCATGGGGATGGGACAACAGAAGAGTTACACTGCAGAGTAGAAAAGAGCTCGTGTCATCTAGTGAAGAAGAGATCAGGAAGGAAACAAAAAGACAAGGAAAAAAGTAAAAGCAAGAGCATGTGAATAGACCATGGGAGGAAGAAGAGGACCCACAGTCTCCATTCAGGTTAACTTTGTATTTAGTGAGGACTACCTGCATACCCCCTCCATATCACCACTGACCCCCGCTTGTCAGCTGATACAGAAAAAAAAAAGTTCTCCCCTGAATCCCCCTCCACATGAGCAGAAGAGAAGAGTTCTGCATGTTAGTTATGGTGACAGTGAATGCTAAATCTCCCGATTGCTTATCACATGATGAACAAAGATCAGGCTTGTCTCTCCCTCAGTGCTTTGGAGAAAGGGAGGGAGGATAGGGCAACTTGTTAATGAAGCTACTGCACAATATAAAATACTGAACATGCTCAGCTGTGTGCAGAAGTGGACTAGTGTTCAGAAACTCAGATTAATTCCCCTATCATAAACCCTTTCCAATGATACCCCTGTTCCTCTGGGAGAAGTGAAAGAAGGCCCCATCTGCCATCGGCAAGGGATGGAGCTTGCTTCCTCACTGAAGGCAGAATGGAACTGTTAGTGAAACCAATCAATAGTTTTTAATAAGTATATGCATTTAGTATTTTACAGGGTCAAAATTAATTTAATCCAGTTCTTGTGATGCTTAAATACACTGAAGAGGAAACATACTCATTCATAATATTTTCCTGAAAGCAGCAGTCAAAAAGATGAGGTACAGAGTATTAAGAGCATGGAAGAAATCAGCAACAGAAACAGGCGTTTCTCTCTCAAGCCCAGTGGCCTATTAGCTAAGTCAGTGATGGTCAACCATGGTGCAGGAGTACAATAAGATCCTTTTAAGGATGACACGAGGTGCGAGGACAAAAGCAGATAAGCACAGGCCCAGGCTTTTCCTTGCCTGGAAATTCTCCTGCCCCCACTGCCTGGCCCCTCTACAAAGAAGTAAGCACCATAATGAATTAGTATTTGAAATGGGTGGCTGCTTAGATCACAAAAGTTATGGAGAGGTGCATAGGTAGATCTAGGATTTTGAAACCCTCCCCTCTACCCCACTTCAAAATCCTAGATCTGGCATGATGC